ACTGACAGCAGAATTTTTGTAACTGTTTATTTAACAAGCTCTTGACTTGTATTCGAATTAATATTCGTGATTTCTTATTATTATTGAAACTTATGGTAATATGAATATCTAAAATCTTTCATAACATAAAGTTTGTCGACTTTAGAAACGTTGTGTTGAAAGTCAAATCAAATAATAATTGTCGTTACAGTTTATTAGATATAGCGTGTAATCATTCCTACCAAGCATGATCGTCATAGATTTTTTGCAATTACAGTATTGAAACACGTTAATTCGTATCACATTCTTTTAGATACTAGATTTTACGGGCTTTAAGTTGTCAATATCAGTGAGCTTTAAAACAGAAGGTGTCATGAGGATGATGACAAGTATTATTCGGAGTATTTGTCGTCCATGTTCTCATTATTAACTAAGAAACAGATAACATTTTTTTAAATGACGAGAGGGATTGGCAGATAATGATAATAGCCGTCTTCTGCTTGATCTACCACGATTGCACTTTAAACATGAGTGGATTAAACGAATTAAGAACAACTGCTTTGTTCGAAAATACACAATGAATATTTCCAAATGACATTCATATAACTTAATATTAGTACTAATATTCAAATTGGTTTAATATAAAGTGACAGCTCAGATCATAATTATCACATTTGCTTATTATACACTGAAAAATAACGGATAGGCGAAACGATGCTTGGAAATAAATATTTGACCAATGGAAACTCTGGGAAAATGTATTCGACCATATAAAATTACAATTAATCAATGAAGAAATGAATAATGGTTTACTTAATACTTTACTTTACTTTACTTTACTTTACACTGACATAATTCTGTATGTAAAAGAATCTCGATAATTTTCTTCTATATAACAATTTCAGAAAAAGTTGTTACAATATACGAATTCAAATAATTTATTGAATTATTGATGAAATAATCAATATTTAATAAAATGTTGATTTAATTTAAGTATTGATGTATATTCAGTTGTAGTTAATGCAAAGAAGATCTAAACAAATCACTATTTGTTTTATTTATTCAAGAAAAACTTTAAGTGCTCGGTCGTAGGGGAGCTCTTCCTACCACCTTTTTACCTATAAATTCTCTCGTAAGTCAAGCAAAAATGAACACAATACTGAAAACATAAGATGGAAACATCAGTTGAGATGAATTATTTCTGGAGTATGCTGACGATTGGAGCACGTCGTAGAATACTCGTGAAAAAAAGAATAAATCCGTTGCAATTATGAGCAGACTATCATTCTTCCGGTTTTTGAAATTATCGAGTGTCGCTGCGGTCAGACGATGCTCGTTATGCAACTGACAGAAGCAATTCGTTCATTTCAACGTTCGGAAGGTCTAACAAGGTCATCGAGCCGAATAATTATCTCAGTATGTTATACAATGCTTACAACACATTACGTTTTTTAGCATGTTGCAGGACAGGCATCGCGATTCCGCGAATATTAAAGACTTGGCCACCGAGAACTCTCGATGTCTAGGAAATTAAATATTTAAGAAATTTGAGAAATATTTAATCGACGGGGCATAATCTTGTGATTTCATTGAGTTAAAACAGTATTTAAACGTTTTTATTGTTACATTTATTACATGTTTCTGAATTTTCTAAATTTTCGAATAACAATTAAGCTATACACAACAATTAACAGGGTTAAAGTCATAGCGGCGTGTGTCACATTTTCCTGATTGCAAGAGACAAGAAATTTATAGTTTAGTTCATTTATATTCCAATTTATAGTTTGGTTCATTTATATTTTACAATTAAGTTAATTTATGGTTAAGTTATTTTATAATTAAGTTATAGCTTATTTCGCTCGTATTTTTAACATTTTGACCTGTGTAAATTACATATCAATGCGTAGTGTGGACAATTTTCGGAAATGTCATTTACACTACTATGACTTTAACCCCCACTATCAACAATGACTTTCGTTACGCGCAATTTATACAATTCTTTCTATTATCTTTATGTGAACATTTTGCAGCAATTACAGATATGCTAGAACTTCTTGTCCACCAAAATAAACGAAGTATATGATACAAAATCATATGATACCGATAAACTTATTTATTAAAAGCTTCCTCTGCTCCATCGCTTAACATTCGTGCGATTCCTTTGAATATTAACCTCGACTTCTAATAATCACTCTAATGACACGCCAGATCGATCATATATACAGTTGGACCATAAATCGTCAAGAAAATTTGCATTAAATACAATCGAAGAATTAAATAATATTTAGGAAATGCAAGTTCATAAGTTGTTTCAGTGAATATTACATGCGCAAAGTTCTTTATAGCGAAACAAATTTGAAGAAATGTGTTATCTTCAAATGCACAACGTGTTTGTATTGTTATCCATAAAACATTATTTCGGGATAGTGGTCACATGTTCCATTGTTACGTATGCATAAGTATTCGTTGAGCCATGATTCAATTACTGGAAGGTTCTTCAACTCCCATTCCTTTTCGTATGTCATGGATGACATATCTACGATGACACTACTCGCAGTCTTTTCTTCTTCCTGGGTACTACTACTATTATTAAATACGGAGGATATTAAATCCATTATTCCCTTGTTCCATCCTTGTGTATTGTTCTCGAATCTCGGTTTCACAGTGTCCCAATGTTTGGTCAAGAAGTTGGATAGGACGCTCGTGAAAACTGCGTCGCCAGTTAACGTGGTGAAGATGAGGCGGATATCGGAATCCGAGAAGTTTCCATTTTTCTCGAAAATTACGTGCAATAACCTAAAATTATTTCGGTAACATTAGATTCGTCATTTATAGCATTTTTTTGTTTGCTGAATAATGATATTTGTCTACAATACAATTCTGTGAAATTTCAAACCCCTTCGTTTAATGGTAATATGAAATTATCACTAATTTTTTAAAAGAATTTCATTCTCTTGTAAATACATAAAAGAATTAAATTTATAGTAATTTGTAATGAAATTTAGACATGAATTTTTATATAAAATGATATACAAATATAAAACTCATAAGTAAATTATTAGGATGATTAAATCTATTTATAAATTTATAATAAACTCGTGTATAAATTTGAGATTTATACATAAAATTATAGAAATGTGTGTGATCTCGTATTAAAGAAAATAATAAAATTTATAATTGTAATCAGTTTTAGAATTATACATTAATTTTTGATAAAATTTAAATATGAATGTACTTAGATAAACACTAAATAACTTATTGCATAAAATGCAAAAAAAAACAAATGGATAAAAGCCGCAGTCTAATAGTGAACGTAATGTATGGCGCAGAAGGAAAACATAATTATAAAGGAAAACCCATGAGGCTGTCATTATTTCCAGGAACGTGATTAAGGCATTGATATAATTTTTGGTATAACTATCTGCGTTTTTATCGACTATTTTGAAAGAATAGTTCGTTTATTTGATTCGGATAAAAGATTTGCTGAATTATTAGGCTAATTGACCATTTTCAAGCATTTCCATTTTTACATGCATGCACCATTATACGTTCACCATTTCCTAAACGCATTGATAAACATTCGAAATTATTGCTGACAATATGATCAAATACTTTTTAAAGCCGTTGTATATATTCATGTGAGCTTTTCTTTAATTATTTTCGCGTTCTCTATTCACATTTTAAATTTAGTTTAGAGAATTGATTTAGCACTCAGCACAAAATTTGCTATACCTTTCCATTCTGCGCTTGTCTTTCGTACATCCCGCTAGAGATTTCAACAAGTACGTGCGTTCATTCTGTTTCCTTTCGGGAGTATTCTGCGGGAAGTTAATGACACGTTGCAGGCCAAATTCCCATTCTTCGTCGGTACCCCATTTGAACACAGGGCAGATAAATTCATTGGCCACTCTAAAGAGGATTAAAAAAAGATACGTGATCATTTTATTGAAATGTAAAATTAATTTTGTGAAAAGATGGAAATGAAATAAAATACTCCTTAAAAATGTTTACTCGGTAATACTGAATATCAATAATTATTTAAAACAGCGTACACCTTTTTCATTCAGATGAAATTTAAATATGTTATACAGTTTGACTTATTCAACAACTTTACATCGTAGAAAATCGAAAATCTAACCGATTTTAGATATTCCTTTTAGAACTGGGATAAGAAATAAATTACATACGGATTCCCTTTATCCGGTTCTTCATTGGTCAACCATTTCTTATACTCTTGTCTAGCTTCAACCACGCATGGACTGTAACCAAAATGGCACAGGAAATGCTTCGCCATTGTGCGCATATGAGTTTTCCAAGACGGTTCACCGTCTCGATTCGATTCATTTAGTTCAACGTACAAAGGTATTAGCAATGTTCGTACATATGCCTGAAACAACAATATTTGTAAAGTTATTTTCTTGTAGATTCTTCTATATTCCTGAAACAACAATATTTATAGAATTCTGTCTTTGCATAGCCTGCCACATAATGAACCGTTTATTATTGTGTACCATTGAAACAATGTTCTCGAATTTACCTCAAATTTAGGTTGGACTGATCCACTTCCTTGGATACGTCTTCCAATATGGTCGATCATCATGAATACAGGTTCCCACACCACATGACTCCTTTCTTCTTTTAATGAGAGCGTCATGTTCAATGCAATTCCGAAACAGAGTTCACCTGCGTACGCTAAATTCCACGCGTCGTGGATCAGTTTCGCTCTAGTCAAAACTGGAATTGTTTCGCGTTTGTCGCTTTGCAAATATTCCGACAGCAATCTCCAGTTACATATGTCATAATTCACGGGGAACATTCCTGTAAAACACAATTTCATTTGAATACGTTGCTATTAAAATCTAACACTTTCCAAGTTATAATAGTAAGTTTATATGATATCGCGTATACGGACGATCAGTGTTGTGCTAATACCATTGGATTGCAGTTCAATTTCGCAATTCAATTACATTGTATTTTAATTACATAGTAATTTAACTACGTTGTGATTCAGTTATATAATTAAAATCTTCCAGTTAATGCAATTGCTGATTATTTTAGTCACGAATGTAATTCAAATACAATGCAATTGAAATATTATATAGTTGAAATACGATGTAATTGAAATGCAGTTCAGAACATTGAAGTCACAAACACACTTTTATGTTTTTCTTTCGTATACTCATTTGTTGTCTCTTCTGCGTATATTTTCTCTTCTTACCTATTCATTTAATATTTTTTTAATTCGCAATTTTACTTCAATTACATCGTAATTAATGTAATTTAATTACATAGAATTTTGGAGTAATTGTACTCCGATAGCAATTTGGAATTACATTGGAATTTAATTGAACGGTGATCTGAACTATGAATTACAATGTGATAGAATTATAATGTGATCGAATTACTTTGTAATTATAATTCCTTGAGCAATTCAGTTGTAATACTCAACTCAGACGATAAATGTAACAAGTAAAAATGAAAATCTACCAAAAATGATTATTTCGCTGAGGCTTGAACTACTTTAGAAAAATTAGTAAAGATAGCAATGAAGGATCGAACAAATTAGAACCAAAAGTTCGTACACAGTGAAAAGAAGATTAAAAAGCATCAAGAATGAACATTTGGAAAAAGAATAGTTTTGTAAGACGCTAATGGATTTAAATATCAGTTGTTGTATAATGAGAATGTTAACCTGGTGAATACAATAAAGTATGAATACAGTACTATAATAAATATTTCGTTCATTATTATTCGTTAAATATATACTTCAATATATATATATGTATAGCGCATTATACTTTTCTGATTGTGAGACGTTATAAAAAGTGATGAACGTTTGTATAGTGGAGATTTTGTTTGAAATCTTCGTCTCGAGTCTGACTCGTTATTATGTCCTAAATAGGTTAAAATAACGATAGTGATATGAAAACAGAGTGGATTAATTTTATATTCTGTTCAACATGTGCTTGTACCTATTTCTTCGGGATTAACAATAATAAATTTGTCTTCGTCATAAGTGTCGGGAATAGTGAGATTTATCGGTTCATTGGACTTCGTCAACCATAAGCGACACGGTTTGTCTAGTTCCCATTTATCCTCCGTTGCGATTACAAGTGGTATATCCCATTTATAGTACAATTTAGACGACGATTCTGGCGGTGCTTCTCTAAGATAAACTTTCTGTGAACATTAACAGAGATAAAATTAATTGTATTTGCATATTAGCGGGATCAAATCTCATCAAGGCAATTGATTTAACTTCTCCATATCCAAGAACTATACTACAGGTTGTCGATAATGTGAAAAGTTATAAACGTAGATGACTATAGTCAACAGAAAAATTTCTTTTTCAAATAAGAATGGAACGCGTCATATTTACATAATTATGTAAAGAATATTTTTAAAAATATTTCTAAATAAGAATGCAAAAATCAATTACAATGCGTAGATATTAAGTTTTTGTCTTGAAGAAATTTATATAATTTATATATTTTTCATACAGTAATATATTTGAAATAATAACTTTAATAAAAGAGGCAATTTTTCTTCAAAAGTAGAAGAGGCAATTTTTCTCCTATTCTGACTAGCAAAGGATTGTTGCTTGAATAATTTACATCCAACACACTGCGTCACGTCTGTATATTTTTGGATGCAATACACAATCAAATTACATAATGTGAACACATTACGAACGACAAACGTTTTTGTTCGATTTTAACCCCTTGCACTGTAACAACGTGTCAGGCTGGTTGCGAAGATTTCGAACACAATTGACGAAAAATCAAGTTATGCAATTATTTTGCAGTTATCAACGTTTAAACATTAATGCAAAGGTTGGCATGCATTAAATATAAATTTTCTTGCGCATCTAGGAATTTATCAACGACAAAGAGGTGTTAATCGAAATAGCTGCGAGAGAAATCGTAGTGCAAAGGGTTAATTTCTCAGTCGAGTCATAACTGTCACGTTTTTAACAAAATCCAATTATTTATTTCACCTTGAAAAGTTATCAAGGTGAAAATGTTTAGTGGCTAGTTACTGTAACAAAGTAATCGTAGGACTTGGAATACTTGTGAAAATAATTATCAGGAATCCGGCGATTAGATTGTTTTATTATTAAGATTATCAGACGTTTAGTTTTTTATTTTGATTACACCTCATACGCCTCTAAAGATACAGCAGAACTTTTTTTTCTTCTCAAGGGCAGACACCATTCTCATTCTATTATCGTTTACACAACTGTACATCCGTTCATTTGAAAACCTATTTACGTGTGAATCGTTCGCAGTGAAAATCGTCGCGTTCAGATTTTTATGAGACTTTATGACTAAATAAGAAAACAACAAATATTGGACTCCTGTTATCAATGTGACCATTGTTTGACAAGTATACGCCCAATGTAAATATATGTATATATAATAGTTTAGATATTGTCCAGTGAACTAGTCCTTTTAACATCTCAAAACACAGTTCAAGTGAGTTAGTTCAATTTTGAAAAATTTATTCCGTTTTAAAAGGTGGCCGAATATTTTAGTGATTATGTGTATCGCTTGGATAATTGCCTTTTTTCTACTAAAAGATCTAAGGAATCCTATTGAAAACATAACTCATACAACCTAAGATGAAAAGATTCGTTCTGTCATCTAAAAATCATCTTGCACTCAGATAAGGACGGTTTCATTCAAAATGTTCACAAACAAATTGATTACGCCATTTCCTCGACGTTGCGGCGTTATCCATGCGAAAATCACATTATTGTTCCGGTTTCGGTGTCCCTGAGGGATACAGCACTTTTGTTCGATAAGCCTAGAAACGTAAGTACACTTACCTGGCTGAAGGTAATCGTTTCAGTTTCATAATCCCGTATGACCGTGACCACTGGTATTCTGTTTCGATTGATCCACGATACAGCGATGCTGTTGATCGTTGAACCTGGGGGTAAAATGTCCGTTCCATTGACAACGTCGTTCAGTCGGCTGTAGATTTCGTCTGTATAGACTAACCGCTGTGTTCTGGAATAATTTACATTAAAATTGTACATAAAAGTAAATTGAAATGATAATACGTATAGTTACAAAACAACTAAAAGTAATCTAATAACCACCTGGAAGTAGTCTTCGAAAGAAATAAAACTTCAAATAAAATTGTTAATTCACAAAAATATAAAAATATGGAATACTTTTTTTCCAGAATAATAATCCTTATTTAATTTTACTGAATTATATTTTTCGAAACGATTTCTCAAAATAGAAAGTCACACAATTCCCAATAATTCAAAATAGAATGTTTATGCCTACATTACTAAAGGAATAAATGGTGAATATCTAGAATTCAGTTTCTGGTTATGAGAACAGTTTCTAAATTGCTGAAGCCGATTTAAACGGGTCATTCGATAGAGCATAAATAGAAACCACTTCGGTTACATTTTTATTACTCTATGATGACTATTGGCGTAGTTGTAGGGGGGGGGGGTATCTTCGGTTTAAGTTTTCAATTGATTTTCCCTATTTAAATGAGTGCAAAAGTTTGAATAAAAATCTGACATATCATAGATACTATCATTTTTTTCGAGTGAATTGTGAAGTGAGACGATTATTTCACGGAGAGTTGAAATTGAGCTATTTATCAATTAGTATTTTATTATCGATGAAAAACATTACTACCCTTCCGAGTTTTCTTTAATGAAGTTCCTGATTCCTTCCTGCAATAGATCCGGGCCAAGAGTGTAATTGAACATTCGGAATACTAGTTCCACTGGAAAGTAAAAGAGAACGATATTAAATAATTATCAGAATGTTCATCGAAATGAATATTTAGTTAATGAACCTTTTCTTTAAAAACTGATGGGATTAGACTACTTCAAAATTTTGAAGTACAAATATTTTTAGCTTGAATGATAATTTGAGGATTTTGGCAGAAGTTTCGAATGCAAACACCGTATCGTTTCAGAGTTGAAGAGAGTTGAACATAAGCTCGTGTAGGTACTGGTGCGCTGAGAGGCTTAAAGTTCAAACACAATTATCTCGAAACGATGTATATATTGATGCGATTATAACGAAAGTTGGCAAACATCTTCAGTATTATATCCTCGAATATTGCAAAATAAAATTTTTCGTAACATTTCGGAAGTTTGTGAATTTCTTGTGAAAAATATTTTTTCTCAAATGTTTTATTTTATTCATTTATTTCGTTTTGATTTGAATAAAAAACTTTGATACGTTTTATTTGATAAATATAAAGTTAATTGTGTCGGAAAACAATAAAGGAAAAACACAGAGGCACAAGATTGGTCAGCCTATAGCAACAGACTCTACTACCCTATATTTGACAACTAGACTGCTTAAGAAAGCTTTATATTTATGCAGAACTGATGAAGTTGTAAGAAAGTCGTATTGTCATTAAAACTTACTTTTCAATGATGTTGCTTCTCTCTTGATTCCCGCGACTCTAGAGAAAGGTTCGGTCTTCCCTAATTCGTAATAGAGAGAGTACAGCATGGTCATTGGCCACTTTCCTTCAACTTCGTCCGGATTGAGCTACGTAGAACGAATGAGCTAACTGTTTAAATCGAGAAATCTTGATTGCAAGCACAAGAAATCTGACTTACATCCACCGTGGCCATTGAAGCTAGGAACGAATTAAGAGCTTTGTTAACGTGAGCATCGCTTAAACGGTACGTCGCGATATACTGGCCGATCCACTGATAGACAAGTTCGTAGGCCGTGTTCCAGTAGCAAGGACTGCTTAGCTCGCTTTCTCTGTAATGAAATCAAGCTTCACAATTCTTTAAACCAATACAGCTCGAATCTTCTACATGGATATGAAAAAACTTCGCATAACACGAAATCAGCAGCAAATAGGGTAGATGTGCCAGTTACTGTGCCCTTAAACTGTGCCCTTAAACTCCGAAAGTTTTGTTAAATAATGCAATTTATTTGACCTCTTTTGTGTTTGTCTAAGTACTTGATTGTATTTCAAGTTTCTTCTAGTTATTAAACATTGTTTTCAAACAGAAATATTGAAATGAATTCGAGATATTAATTGCAATATAATAATAAGCCACTTCTACTGTTTTCCATATCCAATTACTGAGTTTCAAAAATACTATAGTTTCAAATACTATATTTAGACCTTATTCGAAATCATAAACTCGTATGACATTTGTTACATGATATTTTTATAACACAAAAATTTCAATTACTACTACCACCAAATGAATAAGCACTACTACCAAAGTTTATCTCTTGAACGGTAGGTAAATATAGTTAGGATTATTTATAACCTTATTTATCAGTTGTTTTTAATGCATTTTCTAAGGCACTCCTCTTAGACACGTTGATTTTTCTACGGAATTTAATGAAACGTGTAAAAATTTCAATTAATTGTCAGAAACTAGATGGTCAAATAATTTACACTTTCGGTCCAGATGGACCCGAGGCTCGCCAATTGAGTGGTAAGAAGAACCGTTTGTAATTTAATATTGATTATCATGATGCCATAGTTCAAAATGAGTAATATATAATTTAATAAATTGTAAGTATAATTTTTTACTTGACTCGCATGAGACATACGCTTTGAAGATGTTAAATTACGGTAAATACATACTTGAAAAGCATTAAACCCCAGCCATCAGAAGGTTTTGCAGCGCTGTACGATGGGATTGCCATTAAATCGAGTTTGGGCAATAGAATAGAGCTGTTAAAGTATTCTTGGAAATAGTTCATGATCGTGACCACCTTGTCAGGTACATCTTCCAAAGCCTTCAGGTATTCTTTCCGACCCCAAACCTTAATTTCCAATCTCGTTCCGTTCATTTCGTCGACTTCCTTTGTCGGGGATATACTTTCGAAATCAGATACAACCAAAGCCAATTGATAAGTTGTCATTTGTGGCGTATCTTCGAAATAGTCCCAAATCATGTCTGGCTTGTCAACTCTGTGCAAACAGTAAAAATAACGCATAAAATTAGATATACGCAAAATACGGTTCTAAATAAACATTAACTACTATCCGTTTTATAAAAATATCGAAAGCTTTCGAATAAACATTTCAAGAAATTTTGAAAAGATTGTTTACTCAGTATGGTTAACAATATCTTATGGATAAAAATTGGAAGCGTGCCTATTTATGCGTGAACTTATCGATTGAAAGTAAAACGGCTCACTTACGACGCAACAGACATTGCAAGCGGAGTATTTGATCTAGCTGTCATGTTTTTCGGACGTAAGACAGCGAGTTTGAAAATGGCTTTAAAAAGCGGCTCGTCCATGCACGGGAACACTTTCTGCGCTTGGCCCAGTCCAAGGTAAGTAGCCACGAAATTACTAAATTGGAAATCAAAATATGTATACGAGATAATTCAATTTCTTGCGTTAACAATGTTATTGTAATTACTGTTTCTGTCCATCCGAATCGATGTACTCGCTCTTGAAAAATCCGCTAGTCTCGTTGGTGATTAGCTTTCCGGTGAATTTAATGGATACTTCGCAAACGGTACCTTTGTCCAACATTTCTTGTAGCTGCAACACGAATTTAGGTCTCTTCGCCGTTGGCTGCTCTACCCTGAGCACGTGTACGTTCAACATGGGCCATCCATTTTCCCTTTTCAAAATAATTTCACCGAATTTATAATAATGTTTCGAAACTATCATTCCTATGCAGTTTATTTGTGGATTTGTTTATTCTCAACATTAATATTCATATATTGACGAATATAGGAATTGATCAGAACCATAGTGGCGTGAGTCAGATTTGTGACATTTTGAAAAACGAGATTTGAGATTGTCTCATTGTGAGAAACAAGGAGTGTTGTTGCTCACTAGCATGTGTATTTTTCACTGGCAAAATTTAATATTAAGACAATATAAAATTAAGTTAATTTATAGTAACTTAACAATTCACTTCACTCCTCTTTTTAACAGATTGATATACACGGATTGCATTTGAAGGCATAAGCGAAATTTTCGAAAATGTCAATTACTCCGCTACGATTCTAACCCATTCATGTTATTCCCAGTTTCATTAAAACGTAACTTTGGTCAAATAAGTTTTTAATTTCCCTGAGTGCTGACCTTTCCTTCAGTGATCGTTCCACAATCCTGACGTGGTAGTCGTCGATTGTTAGATGTGGATGAACGTTCAGAATAATCCGATCAGTAGTGTTCATCCAGGTGACGTTCACTTTGAGTTCGCCTTTGTACTTATCAATGCCGGCGAAAGGTTCGAGTTTTAATACGTACACAGTCGGCACAACCTCCCTTGGTAGCCTACTTTGATGCCACATATGGAAAACGTCATTCAAGTCTATACTCCGTGCCCATCTTCTCTGAAACGGACAAAACATTGAGATTTAATACGAATTTTCAATCGGACAATCAAAGCTCAAACTTGTGCACGACTCGAACTAGGTTGCTGAAATGTAAATTGTTATCAATGCTATAAGAAAGGCATTATTTAATTAATAATATAGATTTCTATGAAAGAATATTAAGAAAAAAAATTCTGTAGACTTTGTAAGTGTGTTAGACTTAAGTGAAAACAATTAAATATCTGTAACAAGGAATAGTGTTCCAAATGACGATTACAAAATATTGAAAGTGTCAAATCAGCTTGTAATTTACTTCACTTTGAACTACAAAATCAATTTTGAAACACTTCATATGCTGATTGACTAAATGTTAAATTTACAATTGGTATTAATTGTGTTAGTATTAAACTGGAATCATCAATAATATTTTATCAAAAAATTAATACTTCGAAAATGTATGTTATGTTGTATGTTAATATTTTATCGTTTCATTTGTTTGAAATCTACTGGGCAAACTCAGTAAAATTTACGATTATTTAAGATCTGCTTATTTTCACGAAGACGAGCTTGGTATGAGCTATTAGAAGAATATTTTTAAAAATTGAAAAATTAGTCTTGCTGTATGTGAAAAGCATTATGTAATAGCCTTAAAGTGTTATTTTTAGAGATTTATAAGTGATTATAATTTTGTAAATATGCTTGGATTCATTATCATGACCTTGGCATGAACTAATTAGCCGATAATTCTTCTGAGCAGAATCATTGACATTGGCGTCGCACGTGTGCTCTTAGACAGCATGATCGACCAATCGTATTGGCCCTCTGAGCTCCTGGAGTCCCGTGATGACCACTAGCCTTATTGACGACTTTGTATTTAAATGTTCAAAGACAATGAACAAATGTTCAAAATTCAAATGTTTAAATCCAATGAAAGAAATCAATTTTCAAAGTTTCAATACTACTGAACCTTCTTAACTTTCTGCGAACCACGTGGGTTCTGATTAACCTCAACGGTTTTAAAACGGTTTTTAATAATAAATCGTTCATTAGTAAAACAACAATGTTTGTTGACGTCTGTCCTTATTATAGAAACGATAAAATACTTGTTGATGCATAATTTTCAAGGTGAAATTAACCCCACATGTTTCAGGGCGCCACTTTCTTTCAGCTGTTTCGCGGAAGATTAAAATTGATCAACATCGGCAACATCAGATAATGATATTATTTGATTGATATTAGTATGTAAATTCACTACTCACTCGGGGGATAAGGGAACTGGCCTCGGAGTCTTGAAGCAGGACTAGAATGAACACTAGTCCTACGATTGCAGCAATCCACCTCATAGTGCTTCTGCGGAACACGTTCAAACAATAGTTAGAAATGGCGCTAATAAATAAGAAGTGCTTCGTAAAATGCGAGAGAATTCAAATTGTTTTCCTAATATCTATGAATGCTTAATATTAGAATTAACCGTTTAATAATGTCATGGTTATATTAAATTAAAAAAGAACAGTTTTATTAAATTCGAAACCATGTTTTATGTTTTGAAATGACGTCAATTTCCTCTTTCATGAAAACAAGTTTCGAAATTCAAATTCGAAGTAATTCAGGTAACATCTTATATAACAATTATTTCTTCAACCCTTTTAGATCCTAGAATGAAGAATTGTGTCAGACATACCGGTGAACATGTTAGTATTAATACATCATTAATATTATTCTACTTGTCAACAGACACGTTTGAAGAACCTTATTGTATTAACTAATGATACCAA